CCTTTTTAGCGAGTGGTTTTCGTATGCTGCAACTTTGACAACATGACATTCTGTCATGGTCTACCGTATATGTCTCGACGCGAATTCCGAGTCAGATCCAGATTCGAGGACCTCGAAAGGCCGGCGGGGCAAGTTAATTTGATCTGAGGAAATGATTTAGACTCAACGGACGATCATGGCGCCTAGAAAAGGCGCATCGTGGCCGTCCCAACATTTCTGAATCAAATATATAAGGAATATGGCATCTCGTCGGAAGTATGTTTGCATGGAAAAACTAGGCTAGTATAGCAACCAGACATTCATCATGGCATGCCGCGCTGCAGAAACTTGAAAAGCATGCAGTGCAAAACCTATGTAGAGCTTTTTTTCGAGAAATTATAATGCCTGTTTTTGTAGAATAATAGCATGGCATTTTTGGACCGTATTGACGATCAAGAACCTTGGCTCATATTCTGGGCTTGCATGGGCGGCCGGCCGGGCCCGGCCAATTCGGAACTTTCAACCTTTAAAAATGCCCGCCGGGTTAAATTTTTAATTTGAGCTAGGGCGAAGCTCGTGCATGATCAATGATCGGATCGACTCTGCGGAGTCCCAAGCATTCGTTAATCAAGTCCAACCTATATCGATTATTCAAACTTATGACTAGCTTGTGACAGCCAGCGACTAACAATGGTATGCGATGATTGGAGCGTTCAAGAAGTTTATACTATGTTGGACCTTGACATGAATGGATGCAGACGTGTCCAACACAATCGAATGGTCACACATGGTCGCCCCCATCCACCTCATTTGCAGGCATAGGCTGATGGATACGTCTACCGCTATCAATATGTCATCATATGTAACTTCTATCTACAATCGATCCGGCCCCGAAACTGCGATGCCATGATGTCCTAATCTGGGCCTCCAACCGGTGGTTCTTCCGATGGGAAGTCTTCTGGTGTGTCCTTTGAAGAGCTACTCCGAAAGACGTCCTTCACGGCTGTCGCTGCCGTCAGATAGTTCAGTGTGTTCCTGAGCGTCGACTGCTCTCGCTTTAACCGCTCCGTCGTGTCTGTCAGCTCCAAAAGCGCTTGCTGCTCGGCAGGGGCGCCTTCGAACGTACTTGCAACCCAGAAACTAAAGGGCGTAGGGAAGGCTTGCTTTCGCAGGTCATCCCCCTCTTTGTCCTTTTTGTTCTGCTTACCGCTCACCTGCAAGAACGACAAAGCAGGCGGTTGTCAAATCCGGTTGTCAAATCAAAACTCACTGATATCGGCCATGGTACAGTAGATTGAAACCTACTGCTGACCTTCAACTTTTGAACCGTCATCAACTTCTGAAAGTATAGACGTCAGTATCTCGCCCAGTAGCCGGTAAAACGAGACGCCCAACGTCCAGGCCAATGAACAAAGTCCACATCACCTTCGGCAATTAGGACTCGCCCACAGGCAGAAGCAGTAATCCCCAAGCTTCAATCCAACTTTTGCTAATATATGATTCAGCAGAAGTGCGGCGGCGTGTGCAGAGACCTTGTTGCTGAGTCGAATGACGTCCTTCATGAGCCCCTCCACCTCGCGCGCCAGCGTCTCTGCATCCTCCCCCGGGGCAGGCTCCGCGGACGGCCGGTCCTCCAGCCACTCCACCTGCACCAACCAGCAGCTGCCGCTGTCGAGGGCGTGACACGTGCACATGCTCCAAGTGCTGGGCGCTATCACACGAACTTCGCATATTCCTGCAAGTTGTGCCTAAAGCCAGAAAGCAATTGTTGGAAGCAATCCAAAAACACTACATCTCGCTTTTTATAGCACCTAGACCTGCCAACAGCTTTTGGCTCCTCATCTTCTGCTGCAACCCAAGGAAAAGAGTTTTCTTCGGCAGCCACCCCATGTCCGGGGGAGTGCGCGGTGGCAGCTGCGGGTGGGGCGCGCGCGGAGGCTCACCCGTGCGACGAGGTAGGGCTTGGTGCGCACGATCTCGTGCACGCGGAAGCGCTGCTGGCCCTTGCACACGAGAGTGAAGCGGTCCTCGGGATGCTTCTCGTGCTTCAGCACCTCCGCCACGCACCCAATGGCCGCAGCAGTGCCCGTCACCTCATTTGCGTACACAACCCCAAACCTGGCGACACCAGAGACAAAGCACTTAGCTTGAGAGGTCAGGAGGGGCAGGACCAGTGGGGAGCAGATTGAGAAAGATCTTTACAAAGTTTATGCAACATTTAACCAAGGGGTTGTCAAATGAACGGACTAGCTCAACAAGTGCTTAGTCCCGATTGAACCGTCCTGATCACTTTCCTTGTTTACTTGATCACAAGCTGCAGCTGGAGCGGGCTTTCAAGACTGATGGGCCGCCAACCAGGTGAAGCGAGTGAGTAGGGAGATAGCTTTTGAAAGAAGCCCCTTTCGTCACCACTTCAAAACCCTTTCTTCAGCATAAATCTTGACAAATCTGTCAACAGAGCCTTAACCCACGAACAAGTCCGAGCTGCACAAGTGGGCAGGGGGTTGCCCTGCACGCCCCATCCCCCCATACACCAGGTCGGGGGGGGGTTTCGACCCTCACCGGAGGTCCGTCTGCAGGAGCGTGTGCGTCATGATCCTGTAGCGGTACTCAAAGATCTTGAGGGGCAGCACCTGCCCAGGGAACAACACCTGCACGAGACCCACACCGCATATCTCAAAACCTTTGATCAAAGGGGTCATGCCCTGCAGCATGACCATGTGCTAGAATCAGATTGCGAGTGCTTCACACACGTCGGCCCTCCTTTGGTGCTAACATGTATCCGGCAAACTTGGTTAACTCCAGCGTCTTGGAACGAAGTGGGAGCTTCTGGGCACCACCTTCAATCGTTCTGAGGTTCTCACAGAACAACAACATGGTGGCCAGCGCTGCGTGGCTACGGATGTCCCGCTGCAGCGTACCAGGGGCAGCGGGAAGAGGGGCAGCTCCACCAGGTCCCGCGGGCGAGCAAACGGGAAGCGCACCCCGCTCGACTCCGAGCTAGCATCCGCGCGCACCCTGCGCCCATGCCGCCTGTGCCGCATGCTGCCAGGCACAGGGCCAGGTTGCAGGGGCAACCCGGGTGCTAAGAAACAACTCTTTTTGAGAGGCCCTGTCGTCTGCATGCTGGTCCGTCCTGACGATGACGCTGCCGGATGCGCAGTCTGAGGCCATTGTTCACGGAAAGAGGATGGGGCCTGAGAGAGGTGGGAAGACAAGCTCCGGAGATCGCAAGAGCTTCCGCCCCCACTTCCACCACACAGGGCAGCATTGCCAAAGAAGTTTTGCCCCTGGGCCCCCAATGCTGCAGCCGTGCTCATGGCAGCCATGGCCGCCCCAGCGCCTGCCAGTGCTGCCTGCTTGCGCTCGACTCGTCCCTGCGCTTTATGCTACGTTGATCTGGGCTCAAGCCTCAGACTCAGAGTCAGAGCTTTGCATACGTGTGTCCCTGCTGAAACCTGAAAGGCCTGCGGGCTGCAATTCTCCAGCTTTAGGGTTTTCCATAATAACCACTCAAAGCTCCACATCGCGGATCTGGATCGCAGGACTGCGGATGGCGTACGGCAAGATCATCCCCGTCGATCTTGCGTACCTGTGGAGGAGCGACATCATGAAGAGCCACATCCAGAGTCTGCCCCAGGAGTCAGCCTTCGACGCGGTCGTGCGGCAGAACCCTCGCCTGTACGGCGCCATCGTGACGATCAAGCGGGCGTTCGACCGGGCGGATGGGGGCAACGTCCTGCCGTACACCGTGGTGAGACTAACCTCTCAAGCCTCTCTCTTCTGGTATGAGCCAATGTGCCCTCCCTCGCCAATCGCCAACGAGACTACAAGGACGTTTCCATCAAAATTCTCCCTCAGAAACATGACTGCTGCAAGCCTTCTCAGAACTCTTGCTCACCTAGATTGGAACAGATCAAAGTCCACGTCATGCTGGGATTATCACTTGACCCGAGTCAGGACATCATACACCTTTTCATGCTCCTGTGAGTCTGATTGTCCACAAATCCACCTATCACGGAACTCTGCAGGAAGAACCTGCCGAGAAGAAGCAGAGGCGCCAGGTGCCGTACAAGTCCCTCACCTTCAAGTAGGGGACGACATTCAGGCAAGTGGCCCCCTAACATCAGGATCATCTAGTAGTGTAGTAACAGGCTTCATGACAATATATGTCCAGCCCGTCAATCCTCTGAGAGAGCCACGTGACATGCGAAGAACTTAGAGTGACGTTGCCGGTCGCAGCAGATATAGTTCAATGCAGACCGACATACTCAGCCACGATTAATGCTGTTTGTTATAATTGTATTTGCCTAGTTAAAATCAACCTCATATATATGCATCATAATACCGGACCAGTTAAGATTCAATTGCAGACCGCCTATAGAAATACACACGAACGAGCTGAAAGCACATCTTGTGACGATGCCAAAAGTAATTTTGGACACAAATCGCATTCTCAGAGCATACAGTCAACTCACAACCCAACGACTTCTGCGCACCTACGCATAGACTGCCTATTCAGTGTACGACTCCGTACAGATCTGGCATATCCGTTCGGCTTTGTGCCCAATCCAAGTAATGACTCCGTTACGCACATTATAACATGTTGTACAGTAAGCAGTGACTACAGCTGCACTTCGTGCAGACCGAACACATCAGTGATTGAAGAGATAGATCATAAGGCAATGGCACACGACAACTCTGACCTCCTCTTGCAATGTGGAGATATTCACCCTAATCCTGGACCAATGGTGCCGTCGGGTGCACACCGCAATGATGAAGATGATGTTTGCCTTGATATAGACGGGCAACCTAGTATACGCATGCACGACAAATTAAACGTCATGAATTGGAATTGTCGGGGCATTGATAATAAACTAGCAGATCTTCCAGCCTTTTTCAAGAAACACGACGTCCATATTGCTGTCCTCACGGAGACTCGACGTACCATTGGGAAAAATAAGGTTGGTAAAACCTACACTATCGACGGATACACTTTCCACTTTGTGTCATACATTGATATCTCACATAGCTCACATGCAATCACAGATACAGCAAAGGAGTGGGGTGTATGCGTCGCCGTGCGTGTGGGTCTTGCATACCAAGCTGTAAAGCTAAACGTTCAATCACTTGCCGCAAGAGTGATTCAAGGATCTCTGATCATCCCGACTAAAAGTGACAATAGCATCACCTTGGAGATCATCGGAGTATATGCCCCAGCCAAAGAAGAGCAAAAGCCTGCCTTTTGGGAATCGCTAACGCTACATGTGGCCGAAACAATGAAATCACTTATTGACCAGCCAAATAGCCATTTGATTCTTGCTGGCGACTGGAACAGCTATACTAATGCTGAGCGCGACATCTATAGACCCTTGCTAGCAAACGGCCCACAGCATGCGCAGAAGCCCACTAGAAAGTCAGACACACGCTTCTTGACTGGCCTGATAGCGGATCTAGCAGAAGAAAATCTATTCCTATTTGACCCTATGGCACGACAGAAACTCACTGCCCATACAGCATACACTTTTGCGTCCAGTTCCCAACGCTTTCGCTCCATTTTGGACAAACTGTTCACATCCTTTCCCACCGACCACCTTGAAGACACAGTCATAGTTGACTGGGATCAGTATGACACAGTAAAACTCTCAGACCATAGAGCTGTCATACATCCAATCAGCCTAAGCTCGTTATGCGATGGATGGGTGGAATATCCAGACATACCGTTCAAACTCAATCCACTGATTGAACTTGATAAAATATCTAAGGAGCACCTGCAAAACTTAAAGCGGAGTATACAAAACTGGCGCTCTGATCTCCCCGCTGAAATAGCACAACATCTATTGCACGATACTGACCAAAATCAAACCACAATGGAAGCTCTCACATCGGAACGCCTTGCAGAAATACACACACATCTAACCGACTTATTTGTGAACAGGGTTGGTCAAGCACTAAATTCGGGAGGTGACCAGCGACGCCGAATCTACAAGACGGTTGAAACAGGCTTTGCTAACCATGTCATGGTATGGTTACATCGCTATAAAACCAGCCTCTCCAACCTATATGATGCAAGAGCTCGCGGTCGGCGTAGTCTTGACAAGGCAGCACGGCTCCAAGCAAGAAGCACATACTTGGACTTCCAAAATGAACCCCGATTGCGAGAAGCGCTCCCCGAATTGACAACCCTACTTCCACGAGAACCCTCCGGGCTTCGATGGACCGAAGGAGACTGGGTCCGTCACTGGACGCTCGTCTGTCAACTGCACTTCAAATGGAAAAAAGAATATGACGTACAACTTAGATCAGCAAAGAAATCCGGGAAAGAAAAGATCCAAAAAGAAACCTTTGCCACAGGCATAGGCTCCAAAGCCCGTCGTGCATATCACCTGACACACAAAAACGCCAGCTCTCCCTTACCGGCCATGATGAAAGATCCTGAACTACCGCAAAAGATGATAACTGGCCATGCAGTGAATGAGTATTGGGGCACCACAGCCGCGGCCACCCGCCCAAACATTATGACACCATGGCCCATAGATGGCCCCGTCCCATCCTGGCTTGACGCCTCAATATGGAAGGAGGAGCGCCAAAAGATTAAAAGCGCAGATATTGATATGATGGCACCAATCACAAGAGAAGATCTAAGAGAATTTCTCCAAAGCACGGGTCGTTCCTCACCTGGGATAGATCGAATACAATACGATGTACTCAAATACATGTGTCTCAATGAAGCCCTCAAGGACTTCGATATAGAAGGCATACTTTTAAGGTTTCTGAACACTATCCTCAGACAACAACAGATGCCGGCCTCCATGAAACAAGCCTTCCTTATCTTTATCTACAAGTCAGGCGATCCCCTCCAATTCAAGAATTATCGTGGGTTCAGTCTACTTAGCTGTCTTTTTAAAGTCGTCACATGCTCACTCAATAACAGACTTCAACGACTGCTTATAAAGACAGGAGGCCTGGACCCTAATCAAGGAGCGAATCGTAGGGGCATCCATTCTGCACACAAAGCTGCGGTAGTCATGAACATCATCGCAGACGCAAAATTAAATAAGAAACCCCTACATATCATATACTCAGACATAAAAGGTGCGTTCCCCAGCGTCCCATACCAAGCTTTTACAGATGCCCTCACTGCCCTTGGACTTGACGGTCCCTTCCTTGCCCTGATCAAGGATACTCAACATGAATTTACATGCACAGCTCGCGGGCCTACTGGTCTCTCCGGCCCTCAAGCCAAACACAATGGAGTCCATGAAGGAGATTGTCTCAGCCCCACCCTGTTTTGTTTGGTTCTAAACATGTTCTTCAAATGGCTCCACTCACGAGATCTTGGATACGAAATGGAAAGCCCTCCTCAATCTCCACTTGATCTGAAAATAAAGGTACCGGTTAATGGCTATGCTGATGACATGGCACTCATAGCTAACTCCTATAAAGAAGTCACGGACATTTTTGAAATGCTCGAACATTTCCTCGTATACTACGGCATGGAACTGAATGCAGACAAATGCGGTTACCAATACATGGAGCAAGGAGAAACTCCTCCTCCGACAGCCCCACAGAGCCGATGGGGAGCGATTCCAATACTACATGGTAAAACTTCATATAAATACCTCGGTTACTACATCAACATGGCCCTAGACCTCAAACAGCAACGTAAAGAAATGGTAGCCAAACTTCGTAGCTCCTGTGCTGAATATATAAGCCGACAGAAAGAACGCATGGCACTGCATGAAGCCATTAACTACGTCAACTCCGATCTGGCCAGCAAGTTGCGGTACCGGATGTATTTAGTAAAGTTCTCTAAAACCGACCTTGAACAATTTCAAAGACTACTTGCTAAGACGGTTAAGTGCCTGGCAGGCATCGCACAATCCACCCCCACGGACCTCCTTATTCACCAGGGACTATACCACATCCCAACACTACAAGCAAGCACACGTGCAGAATTCATGCAATCTGCACTTCTAAGCGTGGACCAACCATGCCAAACAACTTCGCGCATAAGCTACTCTTATATCAGACATAACGCACTTGAAGGTACACCACCCTTCTCTTGCACTGGTCGTAGAATGGCATGGCCAGAAAGGAAGTTTTCCCCACTGTTCTACGGGGTGCGTGAACACTTGCAAAAAGTCAACATGTCTCTGCTGATTCATTTTGACACCTGCATCGACCTTCAAAGCCGAAAGATCTGTGAAACACTAGCACCCATAGCCTACAAGTATCGTCACGAACTAAGTGCCTCCGGAAAATTCATTGAAACACATATAGTTCGCCTATTCAGCAATCTTACAAAAGCCAAACTTACTACTCTCGATGACATATCCCCCCTATTTGAATTAAGCATTGCAGATAACCAGCAAAACTGTCAACCGCAAGAACCCTGGCAAAAACAGAAGGGTCGCGCTACGGCGTCTGCAGTGGATCTGATTGAAAGAAAGCTTATCAGTCCATTCACGAGGCCCCTACACCATGATCTCAAAATTCCATCGGCCAGCATAGCACAAATGAAGCTTCTAAAACTATTAATACAAGTGTATATTGAAAGTCTTCTATATCCTTACTCTAATATAATGCCTGCTCATAATGAAGAAACGGCGGACATGTGGGGCATCTACCCCAAACACACTATCTCTACTTCCATAGCGTACCCTGACGGTAGTGCCAACACGGAAAACACAAAAGCAGGGTTCGGAATCTACTTCCCTGAATTGAGTTCAGACGAGGCCTATAAAAAGATCAGCTCAAGAATACCGGGACACCAAACTATTGCCCGGGCAGAGGCCTTTGGGATCCTCGCAGCCCTGATGTTAGTAAAACAAGATCACGATCTCACCATCTACTGCGATCGAAAACCATTGGTAGATCAAATCAACAAACTTACAAACCGGCAATTAGAGTCGCATGTCATCAGAAAGATTAAAGATCAATCGCTCGTGATGAGAATAGTCAATGAAATTACTGAGCGCAGCGCGCGGACCACAATCCAACATGTTAAGGCCCATATCATCGTGATAACACAAAATCATCTCAATCACACGACGTGCAGATCGTACTCGATGAGAATGAGCAACATCAGGAACACAACAAAATTGTGGACGCTCTTGCTAAAGATTCGATTAATGGCGTCGAGGAACCCCCGCTGATACCGGATGAAACAAAACATCTTCCTGAAGTAACCGTGACCCTTGACAAATACGGCACCCCGTTCCGGAAATTAGGACCCATCTTTGAAAATAATCCGCTTAAAATATACCAACAAGCATATCGCGAGTCTCGCCAAGTCTATACCTTCAGAGGGAAGTGGCACCACAACCTATTTAACCAGGAAATTTGGCTCCCACCCACGGAAAGCATCCTGCGAAGTCGGAAAGACCACAACCTCAAAAAATTTATGGTCCAGATTCTTGGCCGTACACTTCCCACCTTCTACAGACTTAACCAAATTCGGCCTAAGCTCTTTCTTGACAACCTTTGTGCTGCGTGTAATCAAAGCACAGAGGAAAGTATTGAACACATCTTCTATCACTGTCCCACGTGGAATACCCTCCGCCAAAAAGTTTACCTCGACTGCGTTCGAATCTGCAAAACAAACCGACTACAAGCATCTCAGTCTGAGACCATTGACTTCATCAGACAGAACTTCTTTGTGACGCAGCACAACGACGGGCGAAACATCTCGGCTGGGCAAATCTCCGAAACGACACGAACATGGTTGTTACAGCGAGTTGGCGCTTCCAAAACTCTCTCGCTTCGAATTGCTAAAAAACTCCACAAATGCCTTGTTTCTGGTTTCAAGGAAATTTGGAACACAAGATGCGATGAAATGCGAAGAAAACATTTGCTCTTCAAAGACCGTATGAAGCTCTTTAAATCACAAAAACCTCTCCACGAGATGACCGAAGATGACTACGTCCAATTTGCCGAATCATGGTGGGCACCTGAACGCTCTCAAACAAAAATTCCCTCGCCGACCGAGGCTACAATCCAACCAAAACGTAAAGCTACAGACACAACTTCCCGTTCCACTAACCTCGAGACACACACTACCCTCCCTCCACACGAAACAAAAACCATCGTCAGGCAAACACCACACGCCAACATACATTGCCCCAGTACTGCAACTGAAGCGCGGTACGCTGACAACGATTCCGATGTCCCAATTCTTGAACTTGCGACAGAAAGGTTCCGCAAGCGGTACAAACGGTTGGCTTTTCAAGCAGACTCCTCAAGCATCAATCCAAACTCTACGTCAACTGCTCAACAACCATCATCCAACATGTCAACCTTGGGGCACCGCATAAAGACTTCCAACCCACATAACGTGAATCAAACGTTACCCACTGGTCTTAGAAAATTGCAAACATCAAAACGAATTCTACCGACCTTCATCACAGAACAAACAATCAAGCCTCCAAATGCGCCGCAAGAACCAGGTGCTGAGATGAGCAACCCCGACCGTGACCCATCAAACACACTCAAATCCGTCTTATCTATGCCCTCTCTGGGGAAAAACGTACGCACGCCTTTCAAGATAGTTGCTCCCACAATAAAGAAACATTCTGACCTCACGGAGACAACACAGATCACATCGACCAGCACACACAATCCTGTATTCACGTGTACAACTCAGAGTGGCAAAAAGCGATGTTCATCCTCGATTAATCAAGCCACCCAAATCCAACCGAAACGCCACTGCCATACAACACTTCATCCTCGAACAGAAGACCCACAAAATCTGATCACCCTTGCGTCTCCGTCAATACTGTATGGCAAATCCCTACTTTTGAGAAATAAAAGGAAGCAAAGACTTGGCCACGATAATTTGTCCCCACAAAGGAAAAAGCAAGTAACGTCCGCAACCAACAGCATCACTATCCCAACAAGGCCGATTGCTGACCTACCACCACGACCAGCTAGGTCTATACCAACCTTACTCACTGAATATACCGCTCCACTCCACAACCGCAGCGTCCTTAGATATGGCACGGGCGCAGTCAACGCCAAAAGAAAACGGTCTACTAGAAACACCCACCGTATAGGGTGGGTGCAAGCCCTCTTACCTTCTCCCCTCCTCCCCACTGGGGAAAGAGTGGAGGAGACCAACACCGTGAACTCGAGACCCCAACGCTTGCGTAAGCGCCCTGCGCGCTACCAGATTTAAATAGGCATTTACCATGGGTTCAACGAACATATTGGATTTCAGTCCCTCGAATCCTAGTCACTATTTGCGATATCGCGTATGCCAGTCAGCAGCTTCCATCTGACGAACTGCTTGAGGCCAGATTATTGAGAAACAAAAAAAAAAAAAAAAAAACTCAAAGCTCCACATTGCCGCTGATCATTGGTGGTGGCGGCCATGAAATGCGCCACTCTTTCGCTGCCCCTTTGCAGTGCCACGCCTTTTAGCTAGGGACTTGGTCGCATCTTGTAGCATGGTGTCCGCCAGGGTGCTCACTCTTGAGGCGCCCGCGCTCGCTGGTGTGCAGCTGTCTCCCTGTGAGTCTGCCGGCAGGAGCCAGCGCACTCCTGCGTCCTGCCTTGTGCCCAATGCGGCAAACCTTGGGCGTGGCACAAACTCCTGCCTGCCCTTCGAGGGGAAATGCAAGCAGGGAGCCAGGCTTGCCCTGAAGCGCAGAACGGTCACTCTCCTAACTGGTGAGTTTGTGTTCAGGACCTGAGCATTTAGTTCTCTAGTGCATTGGGGTGCGCGCATCCACTTCACAACCTGGCAAACCAGCGCCAGGTAGCTGCCACCAACTAGACAGCGGGCTGCATGATATGTTCCAACTTTTGACCACTCCTCTTTCTTGGACGTGTGTTTGAGGTTCCAGATACACTTGGAGGATGCCAGCTTGCACCACCGTGAATGGGCTGAGGATACCTTGGTGAAACCTTGCTAAGCAATGGGCGCACTCATTGAGATGAGCAGCTTCTGAAGTTGTGGGCAGACAGGCGTTGCCCACGAGGGTGCCACGCCCAGTTGCTTCAATCTGGCTAATGTTTGTACCCTGCACGGTGCTTAGGCCATAGTCGCCAGCATTGCACTCGGCAGGCGTTTGCCATGCTGAGCTGCACTCTGCACACCGCTAGGAGGAAGCACGCAGTGTGCTTGAGAAACATTGAAGCAGAATATTGTTGTCGGCTTGTCTGGAGTGAACCAAACTGCCAGTCATGGTCCCCAGTCCTTGGAGTAACGCAGGATGGTCCTTGCAGGGATGGGCCTCTCCGCCATGCCCCCACCTGCGCGCGCCTCTGCTCCGGTGGCGGCTGCCTCCGCCAATGGCAGCCACTCGCTGGAGGTGCGCCACAAGGACCTGCTCGTGGTGGGGCCGGGAGTGCTGGGGACGCTCATCGCACAGCAGTGGTTCAAGGTGGGGCATGGGGGGGCTCCCGTTCGGCCACTCTCGGGTGTATGTTTTTGTATCTACCTAGTTTGGAGTGGACACCAACTCATCACGTGAAGCCAGCTACTTTGAGCCAGTAATCGCTCATTAGCACCCAGTACGAACATTAAGCCCCAAGCACGATCAACCGCAATGACCACCCCAGTTGCACTAACCCCCTCCTTAGAGCAGTTTAGCCCTGAAAGCAAAGCGCCATGTCCGAAGAGACTACTGCCCTTCTCAGAGGAGAATCCTGAAAACATTCCGTCACGAAAGGCAACACACGTATGGTTGATCTCGATTCTGCCATAGTGCATCAATCTTTTAGAAATCTCTAAAGTAAGCTTTCTGCTTAATTCAGATAACATACAAGAGAGCCGGTTCAAATCTAGACACGTTCTAGAGTGTTTGGGATGGTTTAACCTCACACTTCAACTGGTCGGATCTGAGCAAGCCTTTTATCTCAACCAACGGATACTACCAAGGAACTGAGGGTCAAACGCCGTTCAATCGACTGCTGCCCTCGTCTATCCACAATCTGGCCCTCCCACCCACCTTATGCGTCCCGCCCCCACTCCTGTCCGCAGTCCCACCCCGACGCTGCGGTGGTGGGGCAGACCAACACGACCAACGCGCACGAGCGGCTGCGCTCCATTGGGGTGCGCCCTGTGGTGAAGGACCTGGACGACGACGCCCCCCAAAAGTTCCCTTACGTTGTCTTCTGCGCACCACCCTCGGGAAGTGAGGACTACGCTGCGGAAGTCAGGTCAGCACGTTCAGCTTGCTACAGAGACTGTGATCCATGGGCCTGCCATGTGATTTCAGTTGACGAGCTTCATACCGCGTCTGGTGATGTCAGACAAAGTGTACCTCATCTTGAAGCACATAGTCTTATCGTCAAGGAACGGGGTCGGTCCTGTTGACCAAAGAGGGGCTCATTGTAATAGCGGAGCAAGTGACGGGCTCACTTGCTTCCATTTATCCTTTGATGCCAAAGCCTATCACCTAATAGACCGCGAAACAAAAGTCTGTAGTGTTTGTGCTTTACGAAGTATCGTTCGTCGCAGAATATACTCACTCGTCCTGGCTCACTGCGTTGGTGCAGAGTTGTCGCTACTCTACTCAAGGTAGAATGAAAATCCGAAGTGTCCGCATGGTCTTACACCAAAATCCTGATTAACTTGCTGACGCTTTTCGATAGAGGCGTTTACATTTCACCCCTCTGCATCGAAAGGCCCAGCAATCAAACAGTAGTCAGCTGCTCAAAGCAGACGCTGGCGTGACCTTGCAGTGCTGCGGCTGCGCGGTGGGACGGCAGTGGTGCGCTGCTCTTCACGTCCAGCACGGGCGTGTACCCGCAGGACGACGGCAGCTTCGTCGACGAGGTGCGGCGACTGGCACACCCCTCACGAAACGAGCCTTTCAGGAAGCCTCCAAACGGAACTCTGACCTGTTCGACGGTATCCGTGTCCCCTGACAGATGAACGATAAGGATCATCGAAGGGCCAGTAGGCTTTCCGAAAAGATCACTTCGAACCCCACCTTAGGGAGAAACGTCCCCGAACGGTTCTGTTTAAACGAGAAAGAGTGCACGATGCGAAGCACCTTGCTTGTGTGACTCCCGGATCCGGCAGCTGCGACTCCTGCTCCATGAACGCGATTGCTCGCGCAGGACGCCAGTGTCGCGCTCAAGTTCTCCTACGCATCACATATGTCTCACTTCGGCAAACGACCCTCGCCTGTCTGGCATTTTACGACAAGTTGCGAAAGACAAAACAGTCGAATCCCTGTTTTTTGGCTTACGTTTCTGCTTGGGAGCAGACCTCCCCCGCTGCGACGCCTGGCGCCAGCCCGCGGCTGGACCGGCTGCTGGCGGCAGAGGCGGCGGTGCTGGGCGCGGGGGGCTGCGTGGTGCGGCTGGCCGGGCTGTACCTCGCGGACCGCGGCGCGCACACCTTCTGGGTCACGCGAGAAACGGTGCCGGGGCGGCCCGACTCGTACGTCAACCTCATACACTACGAGGTGCGCCCTCTCGCACGAAGAAGGGCTATAAAGAATGTTGGATTCTAAGTCAGAGGTTTGGCGAGGCAGGCGATGCGGGAAGAGCGGGAAAGGGCCGTAACGCAAAGGGAGTCGTCTGCGAGAACTCGTCGGAGCATGTCTCAGGCTCGATACTGTTCCTGACCGATCTCGTCTGGACGCTTTGTCTGTTGCCCGATGATACCTGGTTGATATTTCAGCTGCTCTTGGAGAAGTGTTCCTGTGATACTCGTTTCTGTTCGTGCATGAGCGGATAATGCTTCACTCTCTCTTTATCGTCGGAGTCACCCGCTCAGGCCTCCTCCTTGCGACAAACGACGCCCTTCGCTGCTGCACTCGGAGCTTTCAGGTCCTCTCGCGCGTCGAGCTTCAAGGCTTGACGATGATCAAGTTGGCACGCTCATCTGAAGAGCCTCCAGCCGTCGCACCGTCCTGTTTACACCCGTGCCCCGTGTCGCAGGATGCTGCCTCGCTGGCGGTGGCCATTTTGGACGCGAAGCCTCGGGGCGAGACGTTTATGGGGTGTGACAACCACCCCGTCACTAGGTACGCCGTACACTGCCCAGATATCACATCCTGGAACCGCTGTGCTTCCTGACCCTGAGTGCCTCTCTTTAATGAGCGCCCGAGTGATGCGATGTTGGTGGGGCCCGTGCGGGACATCCGGAGGGAAGCTGCCTACATTTGCTGAGAGGTTGTGTGTTCGCTCTGCTCAACAAAGTCATGATAGATGGCGTCGGCCCAACTTACGAACATGTTCCGCAGCAAGTTGGGCACGAGAAACGCAAAGAAACTCGCATTTTGCCGGAGGTTGTCTTGGACGTTCGTATTCCCACCTTGCTATCCCTCTCCCGTTGTTAGCTTTTGCTTTCACTCGAACCCCAAGAGCATTCAGCTTTCAGCAGCGGCACCATTTTGGCGTTGCTCGCTGAGCGCTCCGCCCGCCGCCGTGTGCAGGCAAGAGATCATGGACATCGCCCTCGAGTCGGGCCACTTCAAGGGGCCGTTCCGAGGGTTTGAAGGTGCGCTCCAATCTTTCAAAGCGCTGCTGGAAGATGACCGAAGTGGAAATTGGATTGCCACGGGTACCTCAAGAGGTTCTCAGTTGCATGCATTTCTGAGCGGGTACTCGAGGGCAGTAATAGTGCGTCGGAGCTTTAGGCTTTCGTACCAAGGGCTCCTGCTTACAGCGCTGCAGTCCGAGACAAAACCGTATACTCCTTTTCTCTTCGTTGGCCCTCCTTCCGAAGTCCCGACAAGAGTGATATGTGCGCGAGGGCACGCCTTGATGACGACCTGCCACTTTGCCCAATAGATTGACGTCTATGCCATGCTGCATGAGATTGAGGCCTGGCTTGTGGTGCAGGCAAGGAGGGCGGCCAGGGGAAGAAAATGCACAACGACCTGACGCGGGCCAAGCTGGGGTGGCAGCCCCGGTACCACAGCTTTGCGGACTTCTTTGAGCACTATCAGCCAGCAAAAAGCGAAGCGAAAGCTTAGGTCGGCCGGTATTGGCCACACCGCTTGAGCGGTTGTAGAGTGTACGATACTGAACGGAACCCGCACAGCTCCTGAACTTTGTCTTTCACACTCAGCTCGACGCCAGAATTGCATGGTTCACGGGATGTCTCTGCCATCAGTTGGGGCATCCATTCGGTCGTGTTTGCTGGGCCGCCGGGCCGGGCAACGCGGCCAGACGGTATGTTGCGCAGACAGGTCGGAAGTTAGGCGGCTTGGCTATGATTCCAGATCGAGTCCCCCCTCGAAGTCGGCCTTCGGAGCTTCAATCTCTTACCTCTCACGACTGTCTGGGACCGGACTCAACCGCAGTGTCTTATTGAATGATCGAGGCGCCACTCGATGCCAGGAAAGCACTATGACTTGAGTATAGTGACCTAAATCCAGGCTACATAACGTGCATATGTGTGCCAGACATAATATCAAATGCACGAGTCATGGCCGCTCCTAACAAGTTCAGGGCCCGGGGAGTGCAACGGCGGCCGGGCGGCCCAATATGATCGCGTGCTGGCACCAAACTTGAAATCAGCCTCTCATGCGCGACTCGAAAACACAATCGGATATTGTCGTCGATCGTTGTGCTTCTTCATCATGTACGTCAGCTTGTATAACGGCCATGCCATGATTGTGCGCGGCCGCATGTACATGCCATGATGGCCGCGCTGCATGATAGCATATATATTCGTAAATCTGCAATTATTGCGGACTCATCGACTATATAACGCGTGAGCCCCAACTTACCAAATGATCGCGGATGCAAAATACAATTAGACCTTTTATATGGATATATGCATGGTGACTCTTGCGTGCACAAGATATGTGCAGTGTGCACTGCACCCGCGCCGCGGCGCGCGCGCCCCATGCATGGCTGGGTACCGGCCTGGCCAGCCGGCCGCGGCACCAATAAGTGGCGACGTACGAACGCCGGGCGATCGGGGCGGCCGCCCGCGCCACCTATACTATATTACATAGGTGGTAAGGTATACTCTACTAGTATATTATCATAGTATGCTTTGAAACATATTGTATTCATGTCGCGGTGGCCGCCCGGGGGCTTTTCGTCAAAGTAAATTGAGGCTGATCATGATCGAGCTGCAGGAAGGCATTTTTAAGTACGTTGAACTTAGTTAATTCCGGAAAGAGAATGCCTCATTTGATAGCGATCGGACGGTACCGTACAAATATGCCGGCGTACCGCGTATGTCTACTGGATCATTGATCGTTCAAGGGTTCGGTTCAAATGATTGGCTGGGCGGCGCCTGCCTGCAAGCATTCATGATG